TCAAGTATAGAATAATCTTGAAGCCAACTCACATCAGAAACCTCAAAATGCAGTGACTGGATTTCGTTCAGAAATTTTATTATGAACGTAAAAATATTGAAACATTCAACAATATAAATATAACAGAATCGAGAAAACGACCAAGATTATGTATTCCTTAATTTTTCTCATAGAACATTTTGATGAAATATTCGTGTACGCTATTTTTTTCATCATCCTGTCCACTTTTTTGGACATGGTGGGAGAACCTCCCTCGTTCAAACTTCCTTTGGAAGATAACTTGATACTTTTCCGATAGTTGACAGTCTGGTTCGGTGGAAGTTCGAACGATGTTCTTTAGAGAGTCTGCTACCAGTTTTTGTAATTCTTTTTACTCGACCCTTTCTTGATTGTACAAAGCAGTACCCTTATCTTCAACCCCATTACTGTCCTGATATTCCACTTTATTACAAGTTAGTATTCGATCATCGTCGAAGTCATAATTATAGAAAAAATAGTCTGCCAGTGCTGACATCTCAGCCATTTTATGGCTAGTTCTAGCCCTTTTAAAATCATCTAGCCAATGAAAATTGCATCTAGCCAAGAAGCCGTTTTTTCTAGCTATCTTTTCATTCTGAATCTCTATAAAAATATATTCATTTTCATAAGATTCCCATGAATCATTATATTCACCATCTAATTCAAGTCAAATTCAGACGTTTGCATTTTAGGGATTTTGTACTTGTGTCATTTTGAAAAAATTGGGTGCGTTTTTCATTCCCAAATGTCGTCATGTGCATGAATCGAAGAATCATTAACACTCAGTAGAGTGTGGTCGAGTCTAGCTCTAGATCTAAGCTCTATTCCAAATCCAAAATGAGAAGCTAGTAGGTAGCGCTGCCTATGAAGGAATCTTTGCACTGATGAAATAAATAATGGCGGCTAATTCAAATTCATGGCCATTCTAATGAGTGAATTTCACTCTGAGATCCTGTTTATTCTCAGGATTTATTGTAACCCATAAAATATACAAGAAATAAATAGAACATGGATGACGTGATCATCTTTCCACAAAGAGAACTTCATCCATTAAGTCACGTCATAGTTCATAAAATTAGGCAGGTGTAATATTGCCTCCGATATTAACCAATGAAAGCGAAGGCCAACGCTCTATTATGATTGCAAATGCTGTCTTCTAAGTTGGAATGAACACTAGACTTGAATTCTGAATGTCAGAATCGTAGTCCATCGTCAGATTTCTTGTTTTTCCTATAATAATTGCAAAAACTGGCTAGATTAGCCAAAAAATATCTTTCCACTGAGGAAACTTCATTCTCTACCTCACGTCATAGATCATAATATTAGGCAGGTATAATATTGCCTCCCATATCAACCAATCAAAGCGAAGGCCGACGCTTCCCTTACTTCCCTATGATTGCTAGTGCTGTCTTCTAAGTTGGAATGGACACTAGACTTGAATTCTGAATGTCAGAGTCATAGTCCATGGTCAGATTTCTTGTTTTTCCTATAATAATTGCAAAAAATTGCTAAATCATTGCTGATTGCTGTCAGTCCATTTAACTGTTATAAGATTGTTGTTCATGAACAACCTGCCTGTTTCAAGTCTCGTGCACCAATTTTTCGTACTGGGAGTAGAAATGAAAATCCGGTTGCCTTTTTTTACAAAATGTAACCTCTATGATGGGATCTTGAATTGCAATTCAGATCATCCAGGTGGTTCAGTAGAGGATTCCTTATTCTCCTTCAAGCTTATTGAATTTTTGTTGTTTTCAAGTGACACCGTGGGCAAGTATAGGCGGACTCGGATATTACACAAAAACAGGTGTACCAAAACTGCATTTTATGCAAAACGATTCATAGATAGGGCCACCGCATTGCGGTTTCTTTTTTCCCTTGTCGGTATGAGCCCTGGCAACATCTGTCGTTTGCCAATTTGACGAGGATTTGTGTTCTTATAACCCTTTATTGCGAGGTAAACAATCCTTATTCGGATGTCCGAATGGGATTGAATGATGTTTTCAATATATTTTGATCTGGGTCTCGCAGGACCATATGCGTACCATTATAAATCCAGGTTTCTTCCATTACATTACGTTCACTCTGACAAATATACGGATTTTAATATTTTCTTCCAAAGTTCACTGTCAATTCTATTCTCCTCTGAAGTATATATAATTATAAACCAGAGTTCTGAATTTCTAAAAATCATAGTTTCTACAGGGTGTTCCAGGTTCTATAAGCAGTACTGTGCAGAACAAAGGAGGTCTTAGATTGCTTCGTTTGCGAGTTTCACTTGTTCACTATGTTCACCCTGTATGACTTTTTGTGGGAACAAAATTTGGTTTGGCATCTGTCTGGCATAGTGTCAAGATTTCGAAATGACATATTATATTATGTTAATCTAGAAATCAGATACCTATATCAAATTTTTGGGGGAGCATTTGTTATTTCTGTTGTTCCTCGAAAACAGTGTGTTCTTTCGAATTTCAACAGGTGGTTTTCATTACTACAAAACTGACTGTTTTCATATGATCTCACAAAGTGATTTTGAAACTCAATATGTTTCCAAATCGTGATATAAAAGATTGATGGTCAGCTGTGAATCATCATTTGCAAATCACGGTGGCAGTTAGTTACTTATATATCATCGTATCTAACGAGTTTGGTGGAAAAAAACTGGAATTATTGTTAACAACGAAATGCATGCGCACGTGCCCGAGGCAGGGGGGGGGAATGCAGATAAAAAAATCGATTATAGAATTTCAAGTTTCAAACTTGGCAAATTCATGATATAGAAAACGCAACAAAAAACTATGGCTACATGTCGTCTGGTCTTCCAGTCTTCTAGTCATAATAAAATGAAATAAAATAATGAATCATTATATTCTTTTCATTTATTGCATCATCTCATTTTTCAGAATTATTTTTGCTCCGAAGAACATTTTATTGTTAATTTATTATTATTTATTTTTTTATACAAGGAATATATAAGCAACAATGAAGTTTAACTTTTCAGAACCTCCCAATAGGCGACTGCACTATTTTTTCATCTCTCAAATAGAATTATAACTCAAATATCTTTCAATTTCATATGTCTCGAGAATTTTTCGATCGATTTTTAGGAGCTACAATCATCGATAATGCCACGGTAATTTTCAAACGGCTAGAAATTTACCGCCAGTATTCAATAATTCATTAATTCTCAGTTGAGTATTAGTAATATTCCTAATCAGCAATAAAAATCCAGTTGTCTCAAAATGCTCCCTTACGATTTGTGGATTATTGCTTATGATGAATTTGTTTCAATAATATTAATTATATTATTTCACACTAGCGGACATTTGAATGGGTGATCGTGACAAGACGGCGAACGATTTGTGGGCGTGGTCTTGTCAGTTCTCAGCATTCAGCACAATGTTGCCAAGTCTCCAACATTTACATAATATTTTGTTATGGACAATAAGAAATAGTTGGACATGCTGGTTGCTCTAAAAAGTCGAAAATGAAATATAATATCATGAGTTCCTCCTATTATGTTTCATTCAACGACAGGACTCTAACATCTTTTTGATAACTTGATTATAATTGGTGGCTTGACAACCTTGCTTCATAAGAGGAAATGGTGGATTATCCCACTAATGAGGAAACAGCATGAAAACTGACGTCACACGGAAAAAAAGGAATTGTTGAATCGAGCAAAATTTAATTGAATGGAGCAAATAAAAGTGTCATATATGCACGACAAAATATAATCTCAAAATGAGTAAATCTATATCTTGTTTCAGAGCGAATTTGAAGTTTGAATCGAGTAAATATGTCTTGCATGAACTCTGGATCTTCTTCAATCAAGCACATCCATGAATTGTTTATGAAGAGATATTGAATTGACTCAAACAAACATTTTGTTTGGTTCAAAATAACAAGATATTGATTCAATCAAATATTTAGTTGATTCAACGAAATATTTGGTTGATTTAAAGAAATATTTGGTTGATTCAAGAGAAACTATATATCCTTCGACAAATTGTTTTGTTGAACAAAATTCAATGTTCGGGAATTTTCTGAAATTTCACATCAATAGAATAAACAATACTAGGAAACTAGTCGACTCCTAGCATATATCTTTAGTCCTTATTTCTCTTTAGCTGATGGAAAACTATTTCGGGTTGCTAATCATCCTAAGTTCGACTTATCCAGCTGATATTTCAAACAGGAAGAATCAGGCTTCACGTATATAATGAACTCGAGGCAGGCATAGACGAGGCGAAATGATCGCCATCTAGAGGCGAAAATTTAAGTTGATGTAGAATGAACAAAATATTTCATTGATATTACATATTTCGTTGCTCTATTCAAACAAATGATCCGTTCGAAACGAGTTCATTGATAGATCGGAATAAGACAACTTGTATGTTGTTTCAAAGATATATTCTCATCAAAATGATCATTGTTAGATCAAATCAACGAAATGTTTATAGTTAAATCAACATCGACATTATTTTGGATCGACATAATTTGTTTTTGAAGAAACCATATATATTGTTGATCGAATTGATATTATACTGTTGATTCAATTAGACTACATTCTTGATTTGAACAAGCTGCTTCCATGGTATAATCATGTATCTGGTTGATTCAACAAAAAATTGGTCAGTCCAACAAAAATAACTCAAGCATAAATAATTTGTTGATTCAACAAATCCATTTTTTCCGTGCACCATTTTATTCGACTTATCGCCAAATGGCGGCCATGAAGGTTCGTTTGAAATCAGAAATTCAACAATCTCCAACAACGCATAGACTCATTATTTACATAAAAAAAATGTGAGAAGTGTTGCAGAAATTAATTTTGGCTACTAACGACACAGTGGAGTAATTGAATGCCAATAATTCATTTTCAGTCCACTCGCCCGTGATAGCGAGAACCCCCTTCCCCCCTTAAGGAATTTCACCCTAGGTACGCGCCAGACGAAACTTCCTCAACCATAAATTTATTCCAGGTTCTGACTGGAAACAGCAACACCTACCTAGTGGTCCGGCAAAGACTAGAGCTGCCTTTCATCGCTAGCAAAGTGCGATTCATCCCCTACAGCGAACACCCTAGGACTGTATGTATGAGGGTGGAGCTATATGGATGCCCTTCGGAACGTGAGTACAAAAATCAACAACCATTACTCCACCTCATTTCAAATAGTACAACTGATAAAATATGTGCGGTTGATATTCAAATATCTAAGCAGAGTTATCATTGCTTGATACAACTCATGAAATACATCAACAAATAATGATTGTACATATCTCTTATTATTAATGCGAGAGGGACTAATACATTATCACATGGTCACTGAGTTGGCCAGGTCAATAGCCATAAATATAGAATATACATTGGGCTATATCTGATCAGGAGAGGGCAAAATGTTCTACTGAAGAAAACTATTTCAGTCAAATTGTTATGTTATTATTGGGTCATTCAATACATTGTAATTATTGTATCCCGTGTAATTAGTATACAGAAGAGAAATTCGTGTTCGCATATGCATTCAAAGTATCGTTCATATCTTCTTCTACTTCGTTCCAAACAAACGCATGATTTACCTTGTCAATTCCGCGAATATGATAATAATAATAATATCTTTTTTATGTTTTGGTTCCCACGAAAAGGGTTATCCTGTAATCTTCAGAGAACATCGTGAGAACCAAGGGAAATAAGGTAGTATTTGGTGTTCTTCTAAAATTTCTGGAGGTTATATGCTTCGGGAAATATGCATTTATTGACAGAAGAATAAGCAATACAATTTAGATTGAATTTCATCTGCCAATAGGATACAAAATTGGATAACTCCATTCTTACTTTTGCACCTAACCAAAAAACAAAAGGAAAAAAATAGTAATAATAGATAATGAATGAATATAAATACATGACACACACAAATATGTTGAATTATAGTGAATATAAAAGAATACATAAATGGTAAATTGACCTAGGTTATCAGTAGGATCGAAGAAGATTTTTATACATGATAAGAATGTTTTTTTTTTCATACGCAAGTTGAAATCATTTTGGTGATTACTATATTATGTAGACATGAAAGGGGCCACAAATCAAAATACTCATTCACAAAATACTTGGACATTATAGATTGTTCAGAAAATTTTGTTTGAGAGAGTGCCTGAAGCTTGCCAAAGATTTAGCCTGGAGTGACAGCCGAGTGTCATTGTATAGTTCAGCGATTTTCTGGGTGGAAGATCTTTCGAACTGTTCGGTGGAATGTCTAACAATGTAGATCCTTTTGCGTTTAATGTTGACTATGTTGACGTGATGTACATCAGTTCTATATTGAATCTTGTTATGGTGTTTGAGGGGTAATAATTTGTTGATATTACACTGATGAGGTTTGAAGTGTGAGCCTAACAGACATTTTCAACCATTTTGCTTCTCTTAGCGTATATAAAAGTGGATCTCGTTTTCTAATTCTGAAAGAAAATCTCAAGCACGAGTTTTGAACTCTTTGGATTCTATTCTGTTCGGTAGAGTTCAAAAAATAATGGTAAACCACATCACAGTGATTGAAAGTATCAGAGTGTCGCAAAGACGTACTTAAGTTTTAGTATTCAGTGCATGCCTGTCGGGATATAGTACATTCATTTTACCGTATGCCTTCTGGATCAACAGTGATACGTATTTCTTGAATTTGAGCTCGTCATCGATTGTTACTCCTGAATTTTTCGCTTGCTTTACAACGTCGCCCATTTTAATACTCAGACCACTAACTCTCGACCTAGTTCCACATCGTCCGAATATCATCACTGAGCACTTGGCTATGTTCATATGGAGTGAGTGTTTTTTCGATATATCGACAAACTGGTTCAATTCTTGGTTCATGACCTTTACATTGCTGATATTTCCTAAGGTTTGAATGAATAATACAATTGCGTATCATATGGTATCATCCGCATACATGTGGTATTCCAATTTATTCAAGCCCATGGATTATTTGTTTGGTATAAATTGTGTAAAGTATGGGGCCGAGAGTTGAACCTAGTGGCACGCCTGAAGATGGAGTCCTACATCCTGATTTCACATTATCTATTTTTACATGTTGAGATCTATTCGAGAGGTATGATGCAAAGATTTTTTTCGAGTTTTGTGACAGACCATTATAGTGCAGTATTGAGAGGAGTAGTTGGTGATTCATAGAATCGAATGCCTTGCTATAATCAATTGAAATTAGAGTTGTGACTTCATCATTATCTGAAGCTCTGACAATATCATCGAGGATGTTCAATAAGGCTGTTGATCTAAAACTATTTTGCGTCGTCGGTAAAATGTCGTTATCGTGAAGGTGATCTCGGAGCTGATGAGCGATAGCTTTTTCCAAATTTTTAGAAAGAAAGGGAAGTAAGCTGATAGGACGTAAATCTTTAAATGTCTTGGGTTCTTTAACTTTTGATATCAGAATCACAATCGATTGTTTCCAAAGTTTTAGAAAAACCCTCTTTTCCAGGCAACAATTAATAATGTAACAGATAACAAGGACAACATAGGTTTATTAGGGAACTATCTGAGTCATCTATTTCTTTCGACTTACTTTCTATTCGGCATATGTAAGTCAGAAGTTGATTATCTGTTATCAAAGTAAATTCTGAAGATGCCGTTACGGAATCATTTATATTGCTTTTATAGAACTCATCAAGATCGGAATCAATTATGTAACCAAGTTGGGTAGACGAGACAAAATAGTCATTGATGTTCATAGCATTACTTAAATGTTCGGTATGAAACTGATGAATATCTCCCGTTCTTTGGGAAAAAAATTAACAAAATAGTTGAAATTCCAAACATGGGAATCTTCAAAAAGTGTACATATTATCAGAGTGAGTTTGCCAGAGTATTCCAACTTTGAAAAACAAACATTTTACTTGGGGCGGTTTTCTACTATGCCATGTTTCTCGCTTTTCCGGGGTCTTGTTACTCCCGTTTCAGACATTCGATCATCTGACCAGAGAAACTGCTCAGGTTCAGCGGAGCATCAAGTCAACTACTGATTAAAGCTTCTTGGTGTTTGCTGAACACGCCGCACGGTAACATTATACGAACGCAGATGCTTTTGTGATAATAGGAGGGCGGTTCGTGTAAGGGGTGCTCCATGGGAGTTTTGAGCCGATTTGCGCCTTGCGGTTACCAACTATAGAGGAACATTAGTTAGAGCTGACGGAGAGATACAATGAGGTGGAAGAACTCATTGTGTGAACTAAAGGCTTTGGAGGGAGTTAATTATTCGGTTTTCGAATTTTTCAATGAATTTCTCGAATTCTCAGATGTGAAAACTTCACGAACGATAAGATTTTCACAACATTCTCAAACACACGACATGTTTCGCTAATAATTAGCTTCGTCAGGTGATATACTGGTAAAACGATGAACTAAACTAACCTTGGCTTGCTTATATATCCTACTTTCCCAACCTGAAAAAATAGTTACCTATGGAAAGGTTCGATAAAACTCCATTTTCGGAGGCACTATAGGCACTATATCTACATTAAAATACGGTGTACGAGCGGATTGACATGAAAGGGTTGATATCAAATACATATTATTACTTACTAGGAAAACAAATTCAACATTGGTGAACTATTGAGGTCTAATCGATCGATGAGTTTGTTGATTTCTAATGATTCAGAATGATTGAGTTTCATTCCTTTATTTTCTACGTGTAAAATTTCGAAATTATCATCAAAACTATCGTTTCATTCTGAAATATGGTTGGCGTATGTTGAATTTGTTTTCTTTTTCAAAAAATTCATCTTATGTTCATGAATGCGCTGATTTAACGAACGACCTGTCTGACCGATATATACCTTAGTACAAGATCCACAGTTGAGTTTGTATACCCCTGATTTTTCGAATTCAGAAGTTTTGTCTGTATTATTCTCGATAAACATACCCAACGTGTTATTTGTTCTATATGCTACTTTTAAGTCCTGTTTATGTAGATATGGAGCTAATTTTTCAGTTGATGATCCGAAATTGGATAAAGTTCTATAATTTTGATTATCATTTCTGATGGTAGGATAAACTTCTTGTATAGCTTCATCATGAAGTTTTTTAGAAAGAATACTGTCTATCAAATTAACGTTGTATCCGTTGTTGACTGCAATCTGTTTTATGATATTGAGTTCTCTATTGAAATTTCCTTCCGAAAGAGGGACATTCATTTGCCTGTGTATCATACTATTATATATGCTGCAATTTCATGTTGATAAGGTCGTGTTGAATCATTAGGAATAGTGATATCAGTGTGGGAAGGTTTATGGAAAATTTCAAATTTAAGAAATTGATTGAATTTTCTGTTTCTATTTCTATTGTGAATTTAATGTTTGGTTGAATAGTATTTAGATATTGGTGGAAAGTGTCCAATTGTCTGTTGGTTCCTTCAAAGAATACTATATCATCATCTACGTATCTATACCAATACAAAGTTATCCATGAAAATTTCAGCAAGTATAAAGGGCTCAGTGGATTTCCCATAATCAACCCTTTTGACGCAGAATATATTTTGTTGTCGAATTCAAAAAAAGTTTTTGTACATAAATTACATCAAATGAAATGAATTTCGTGTTTTGAATTTTAGTTATCAATTCATAGGAGTTCCTCAAACTGAATTTTGATTGAAAATTACATTAGTTTTTCATCAACGTTATCAATTTTTCTGATAGTTCAACTGAAGAAGCTGCGACAAATGAAACTACTGAGCGAATAGGATAATTTTGTTTGTATAATTTAATAATCAAGAGAATGGAGTTTTAGAGGTTGAGGATTCATGATAGTCAATCTGAATTTTTCGGTTTCCTTAAAAATCGATATAGAATTTTTCAGAAAGTTTATTATCTGTAATTGGTAAGAATTAGTAGGATCACTTCTCGATATGCTAAATTCTCCTGAGAACTGAAACGAATACAGATACGAATTTGCTATTCAAATTACCATTTATCATGTTGAAAACGGGAGCAGATTCTGTCCCGAAACGTCCAAAGCTAAGTGAAAATTTGATATATTTTCTATATACCTTTATTTCTCTTCTCCAAACCTTCTTCAATATAAATTGTCACTGACAAGCTAGTGAACTTTTCTTTTAGGCTCTCTGATA